CCACCAATGGGTCTTCAATGCAGCGACAAACTCCCGCACCCGGAGGCGTCCTTCAGCTGGCCCCTAAACAAATATGTATACTAGTTCAGTGATAATGGACGTCATACTGAACTCCAAATTATACACAAGAAACTAAAATTAAAAATGATACAAGACTAACAAAGGCCAGAGGCTCCTGATTTGGGACAGGCGCAAAAATGCGGCGGGGTTAAACATGTTTTTTGAGATCTCAACCCTCCCCCTATACCTCTAGCCAATGTAGAAAAAAAACAAACGTACAACAGTACGAACAGTAAAACTCAGTTTAAGAGAATTCCGAGTCCGATGTCAGAATAGGAAACAAAAGAAAATAAACAAAATGACAATAATACATAAATAACAACAGACTACTAGCAGTTACTGACATGCCAGCTCCAGACCTCAATTAAACTGATTGAAAGATTATGTCTTCATCATATGAATATAAGGCACAATCCCTCCTGTTAGGGGTTTATTATATGATAGTTTATGATATCGAAAACCCTGGTGTAATAATTTTTCAGTAATATATAAATTTCTCTCGCTAAAATCTAATACGTTGTTACATACACGAGCGAATCGTACAAGTTGAGATATATAAACACCATAAGAATGTGACAAGGGAACGTCACCATCTAAAAATGGATAATTAACGATAGGAAATGAAAAATCATCTCTTTTATCATAAATTTTGTATTAAGCTTCCCGTTAATGATATAGATATCAAGATCAAAGAAAGGACAGTGGTCATTGTTAGTATTAGCTTTATTTAAAGTAAGATCAACAGGATAAATTTCTTTAGTATACATACTGAAGTTGTCATTATTGAGAGCCAATATATCATCCAAATATCTAAAAGTATTGTTAAATTTTTGTATCAGATGTTGTTTCGATGGGTCTTTGCTGATTTTATTCATAAATTGTAACTCATAACAATACAAAAACAGGTCCGCAATAAGTGGTGCACAGTAAGTCCCCATTGGAATTCCGATAACTTGACGATATACGGAATCTCCAAAGCGAACAAAAATGTTATCAAGTAAAAATTCAAGGGCAGATATAGTATCAAAGCATGTCCAATTGACATAGCTCTTTTGTTTGTTGCTAAAAAATGACATAAAAGAGTTTGAACATATGTATTCGCATTCCGACTTTTTAAATGCCCATTTAATTAGGTGTGTGAATTTTTTCTTAATAAGAATATGAGGCAAAGTGGTATATAGGGTAGAAAAATCAAAACTTTGAACAGATTCAAAATCACCAATATATGCATGCAATTTATCAAGTACTTCCAACGAGTTTTTGACACTCCAAAAGTAGTTAATTCCACTATTTTCAAAGGCCTTATTTGAACAATTTATTATCAGGTTTTTGATTGTACAAAGTGTACTAGTAAGTAGAATAGACAATTTAGTAGTGGAACAATGACTTGAAGACGAAATAAATCTATATTTGTAAGGTGATTTGTGTAGCTTCGGAAGCCAGTACATAGTTGGGACTTTCATTTTATTTGGTTTTGCTTGTAAAGAAGTAGCTAATAGTTTATGTTTGTTACAGATATCGTTTTCTGAAAACGAAGTCAGTTGGAATGTTGGTGAATTCGTGATTTCCTTTTGCAGAACCTCAATGTAAAATTTACGTCAAACTATGATATTATTAGCAGCTTTATCAGCCGGGACAAAAACAAATTCCTTGGCTAGTTCTTTTAGTTTATGTTTGATACGAGAGATAGGATTTTTATGGTTGTTGTTAGGAGTAAAATGTTCTTTAAAATGTTGTATACGTATATCAACTATCTTCATTACTGAATTAAAAAAAGAGTCCAAAGATTTTTTGTCAGCTTTTTCCCGTTTTATCCATTTCAAACAGTAAGCACGAAGCTAGTGAGTCGTGGATGATATTACGACACTCATTCCAATTAATAATTGACGGGGGACGATATTTAGGTCCTTTACTGAGGAATGATTTTAACTTTTGGTCGCGAACGATGTTAAGGTCTCCTGTTATAACATGGGAAATGGGGCCATAAGTGTATTCGGAATTACTACAATTACATGACGGAGGTGTATTTTCACTGATATTTACATCTTTACAGACTTGGCTATAATTAAACACAAAATTTCGGGTAGATTTCTTGTAAATATAACAAATAAGAGGGAGTTCAGTATTATCAAAATATCCAGGAATTTGTTCTTTAACAGAATGGTTGTTTAAAATACCGGCAATATTTACAAAATCAAAACCTTTATTGACATACTTTATTTTAATAAAATGTTTTTTGTGATCTTCAGGGCGATCAATTTTAGGAAACAGTTTAGAATAACAATATGCCATTATAATTTGAACAGTAGTATACCTCTGTTCAAAAGTCATGAATCGATTGAGAGAACATGCTTTAAAAAGGGGTGGGTTATAATGCTTGTGGATGTTATTATCACAAGTAAAAAGAATAAATGTGTTTTAAAAAAACAAATAGTCCAAATGGTGTTAGTGACTGTCATAACATTATTTAAAGGGAATTTACCTGTATAAAAACACAGGGACGTACCATATAGGTGTTACAAAACCATTGATATTGATCAATTTACAAATGATTTACAGAAAATATATTTCATAAAAATGTACTGAGAAAGATTTAAATAGCATAATTATATGAAGAATATGAAAAATATTTCCAAAATATATTAGATAAACATGCACCTGTAAAATCAATATGTCAAAGAAGACAACCTCTTACATGCATGTATGAATAAAAAAACTGAGAGGGGTCATATATCTAAAAAAAAAATACTTTATTCACATATATACTCAAAACCGGAGTGACTAAAATGGAAGAAATTTAGAAAATTTGGTAACTAAGATAAAGCGAAAATCAATTAAATTATATTTGAAGAACGTTGCTCTGGTTGGTCAAAATCATGCGATTTTTGGAAAACAGTCGAACCTTTTTTTTTCAAAAAAAAAGGAAACTGTGGAGAACCAAAAAAAATTCAATAAAGTAACTAACGAAAATGTCTATAGAATCTTGAATGAAATAAACATCAACAAGACTACAGGAGCTGATGGTATTCCAGCAAAAATTGTAAAAAATTGTAAATCTGGTATTACACCTCAGCTAACTACTCTTGTCAATTTGTCAATTGAAAATAACTGTTTCCGTGATAAACTAAAAGAAGCCAAGTGAGAGTGGATTCAACCACAGGCGCTTGGGTATATGATACAGAAATTTTTTTTAATTTTTTTTTTGTTGATTAAAATATTCAATTTTCTATATTTATACTACATATCTATCACTACTGCGCATGTCTCACCTAGTTTCGAGTGATTTTACCAACTTTGAGACAAACCCCCATTTTACTATCACTAAGAAACAAAAAGGCAACTAACTCGACGCCATCTTGCGTGCTATAAATAAATAATAAAATTGACCTACCTGGATTCCCCATCGATTTTTATGGAAAACATGCCTTTCTCGCAGTCCGATCGCAGACGTCGTTTCTATTCATAAAATTGCTACTGTTCGTAACATTTTTAGTCCATCTCAAGCATATAATAAAAAGATTTTCACTATTTTCACTAAATTCAAATTTACGTGCCCGGAAGTTTACTGTTAATATTCAGGGGAAGTTACTTTTTCCCGAACTTTTGTTAAAGGGAAGTAACATTTTCCCGGACTTTTTCGGAACATCTCTGCAAGTACACATAAAACAAAGAAAGGGATACGATGATTTCCAAACTATTATAAAAAAGGCGCAACTTTACCGTTGCTGAAAAAAGAAAAGATCTGTTTTAGAAATAATGGCAAGTCAACCAAAGGAAGAAATTACGAAGGAAAACATAGTTTCATGGTAATTTATGAATATACAAATGCTCACACAAAATTGTCTTATGAAAAGAATTCAAAAAATAATCCGTGGACCATTTGATCTGATATTTTTTTATTTTATTTTTGGGGGAGGGTGGTGCACTTACAATCAAATAATAGGCTTGATCTTGTTCTTCGTCCATCATATCTGTTTGTTTACATTCAGTATTAGTTCGGAAATCATCGTATCCCTTTCTTTGTTTTATTTGTACTTGCAGAGATGTTCCGAAAAAGTCCGGGAAAATATTACTTCCCTTTAACAAAAGTTCGGGAAAAAGTAACTTCCCCTGAATATTAACAGTAAACTTCCGGGCACGTAAATTTGAATTTAGTGAAAATAGTGAAAATCTTTTTATTATATGCTTGAGATGGACTAAAAATGTTACGAACAGTAGCAATTTGATGAATAGAAACGACGTCTGCGATCGGACTGCGAGAAAGGCATGTTTTCCATAAAAATCGATGGGGAATCCAGGTAGGTCAATTTTGTTATTTAATTATAGCACGCAAGATGGCGTCGAGTTTGTTGCCTTTTTGTTTCTTAGTGTGGATAGTAAAATGGGGGTTTGTCTCAAAGTTGGTAAAATCACTCGAAACTAGGTGAGACATGCGCAGTAGTGATAGATATGTAGTATAAATATAGAAAATTGAATATTTTAATCAACAACAAAAAATTAAAAAAAATTTCTGTATCATATACCCAAGCGCCTGTGGATTCAACAACTGCATGATATGTACATATATGAATTCATGTCTTTTTTTTAATTATTTTTGTGATGTATTATGTAATATGTTATTTAGTTTTCATGCATGCCATCAACACCATTGGAGTATAGTAGTGCATCATTTTCAATAAACTATATAGTCTATATTTCTGTCTTCTAATATGCAAATTTAAATGAAAATTGCTTTGTCTTTATTATCATGAAAGAAATTAAATTATCTACATAATGTTTGACTCGATAGTCCGTACAAAATTCCATAGTAATCAATGAATAAAATTGGGTACATATCTTTTTTTAATTCTTTTTCACAATCAATACCTCGTGTACAAAATTTCTTACACTCATGGAAGAGTTACACATTCTAATCTTCTATGTACAGTAAAAGAAATATAACACTTTTATTTTTTTATTGTGACAAAACAACGCTTCATGTGCATCTGAATAAATTATTACAAGAAACTCAAGTGGAATATTCCCTCCATTTGAGAATATGTACAAATGTACATTCTTTTAGAATTTCACTTTGTGAATATTTTAATAACATGGAGTTTCGCATTCTTTTTATTCAAACCGCCCCTGCATCCTAATAAAACAAATCCGCGATGGTCGATGGCAAGACATCTTGGTATGCGTTTGATATCCAATTTGAACAAACTTTGAGTTGCTAAACATCGCCCGGAAGTATTAAGAATGTGTAACGTAAAGCTAGCGGCATCACATACAATTACTCGATTAGATTCCGTGACGACTAAGTCAGTCGGGTCAAAGGTTCTACGGCCTGACGATTCCGAACCTTTATAAATGCATTTAACCTCGTCACTATCGTTACCACTCAAAATGACAAGCCTTCCATTACCTATACTATACTCCTGCTTGTCAATCACGTAAATATTTCTTGACTTGTCTGAAGTAACTTTGAATGGTATGGAGCCGGTCTCGAACAGTGGTTTCTTGTTGTTATCTACGCTATACGTTTTTATGTGTTGTCCGTTCAAGTTCATCACAATTATATTTCTTTCCCCTGTATACAAATAATCTTCGGTGGCACCAACGATAATTTTGCCATCGCTGGTGATATGCAGTGCAGCGGTTGTTTTCAATGGAAGCAACGCTGTACTTAGATTCTTCTAATTTATTTTCGGCAGAAAGTGTCTGAAGAACAGTGTCTTGAGTAGATAATAAAAGATCTCCGGACGGCAGCAGTGCCATACTTTTAAAGTTAACAACGAATTCGTGTATTTTCTCGAGTGATCCATTGAAAAGTTTCACATGATGGAGTTCTCCTTCGTAATCATAGCTTTTTTCTGCGTTGATAAGAAAAGATCCATCAGGACAACAGGCAATGTTATCAATGGATGGAAATTTCGTTTTATAACTTTCCAACACACTCAACGAGATGCTGGTAGGAATGTTTTGTTCTTCAACATATTTTACAATGCCATAAAGTGATTCTATACCGCACTCTGTTATTTTTCCTGGATTGAATTCCGGTAAAGAATCAAACTCCGTCTGAAGGTCTATCCTTACGTCAAAACTCATTTCTGCTCTCGCAGCTTCAAACACGGCGCTTTTATTTTTAGAATCGACAATATTTGTGAGATTGTTGTTCCTTGCTTCCAATTCGATTCCGTATTTGTTTGTCTTTTTCTCTTCTTCTTCAATGTCATTTTTCATTGCCTCCCATTTCTTACCAAGTTCGAGTAACAACTTTTTTGTGTGTGCGTCAATTGCATCTTTTAAAGTCTTTCCTTGTTTTTGAATATTCTGCACTTCCATTTCAAGTTTGGAATAACCACTTTGCTTCATTGTTCCTAATGTATTTTGGTGTCTGAACATGTCGACAATAATCTCTTGATATTTAGAACTTCGAGCTTTTAATTTGTAAAGAGAAAATGTGCAACCGGAATCCATATCAATTATGTGATGGTCCCTATGGGGTTGCGAAACGCACATTGTGCACACGACGTCTTCGCACTGCTTGCAAAAACCACAGCCGCGCTGTCGGTGGAGTTCACAGTTAACAATACTATCATACCTTTGGTCAGTTGAACCGGTTATCTCGATATCCACAATTTTGTGCTGATTGTACAAGTTCAATTCGTTCACTTGATGTAGCATACAACAATTCATACACATAAACAAATTACATGTTAAACATCTTCCTTTGATAGGATTTTGTTCCGGACATCCCTGACATGAAATAGCAAATTCTTGAAAAGATCCAGACATTTTAACAGCGGAAATTAATGTTTACATGTAGTTTGCTACAACTAATAATTCCAGAATTTCAACCAATAAAAATGATTCTCTTCCATTCTATCTGCAGTCTTTAAGACTTATTCACAATGACATGACCTATTTTCTGATAAACCAATGAATACTTTTTGAAAGTCTTATTGACACGGAAGTTAAATATATTGATTTACGCACCTGTGTCCTATTTTTGTCGAGCCTTCGACTTTTGTCGAAAAAGCGAGACATAGCGATCCTACATTCCGTCGGCGTCGTCGTCGTCGTCGTCGTCGTCGTCGGCGGCGTCCACAAATATTCACTCTGTGGTTAAAGTTTTTGAAATTTTAATAACTTTCTTAAACTATCCTGGATTTCTACCAAACTTGGACAGAAGCTTGTTTATGATCATGAGATAATATTCAAAAGTAAATTTTGTAAAAAAAAAATTCCATTTTTTCCGTATTTTACTTATAAATGGACTTAGTTTTTCTGCCAGGAAACATTACATTCACTCTGTGGTTAAAGTTTTTGAAATTTTAATAACTTTCTTAAACTATCCTGGATTGCTTCCAAACTTGGAAAGAAGCTTGTTTATGATCATAAGATAGTATCCAGAAGTAAATTTTGTAAAAAAAAATTCCATTTTTTCCGTATTTTACTTATAAATGGACTTAGTTTTTCTGCCAGTTAACATTACATTCACTCTGTGGTTAAAGATTTTAAAATTTTAACAACTTTCTTAAACTATCCTGGATTTGTACCAAACTTGGACAGAAGCTTGTTTATGATTAAAAGCTAGTATCCAGAAGTAAATTTTGTAAAAAAAAAATCCATTTTTTCCGTATTTTACTTATAAATGGACTTAGTTTTTCTGCCAGTTAACATTACATTCACTCTGTGGTTAAAGTTTTTAAAATTTGAACAACTTTCTTAAACTATCCTGGATTTGTACCAAACTTAGACAGAAGCTTGTTTATGATTAAAAGCTAGTATCTAGAAGGAAATTTTGTTCCATTTTTTCCGTATTTTACTTATAAATGGACTTAGTTTTTCTTCCAGTTAACATTACATACAGTCTGCAGTTTAAGTTTTTAAAACATTTATTAGATTCATAAACTATCCTGGATTTTTACCAAACTTGGACAGAAGCTACTTACAATCAAAAGATAGTATAGAGAGGAATATTTTTATTAATTTTTTTCCTCATTTTTGCTGAGCCTGTGATTAACAGCAAAAAGTAGGCGAGACACTGGGTTCCGCGGAACCCTTACGAATTTTATTATTGTTGTATAACCAAAGTGTATTGTATATAATTATCCGGTATCTTTGATGTCATGGTTATGAAATATAATCCGACAGAAAACAATAAACAAAAAACAAGCGAGAGATTGTTTCGTTCTTGGGAATACAGATTTACTTTCGATTTCTGCTCATTATTCAGATATTTTTATACTTCTACAAGTGTGGACACAGATCAGTGTGAATAGTATGTTTTCTGACAAAATGAATTCCCTTGGTTTTTTTTTCACAGAGTTCTATGTTAAACAATGTTGCACAGTGACAGCCAACCTGTACCAAACACTAAAAATTTACAGTGTCATTTTTCTAATATTAAGTTTTAATGTTCAAGACTGTCATGGAGGAGACACTAATTGTATGGATTACCAAATGATTCTGATAAAATATGTTCCACAACTTTGATTTTGGATAGCAGCAAAAACTCAAAATTAGGAGAAGAACACATTCGGTGCATTTCTGCATGATGAGTTTTTAATATGCGAGATGGTATATGAGAACCTGCATGCATGTACTATTTGTATGGTTCTATATATTTTCAATAGTGGTGGTCATTTCTTGCTTGGGTTTGTCCACAATAAATGTAAATTAGATAAGTCTATATAATAGTCCCAGTATCATTAGTGAAAAATTTCGTTTAAATGTTCCAAATTGTTTCTTAGAAGATATCTAATGGTTTTAAGTAATGACAATACATGGCATGACACTTGGGTATAGATGAGCTAGAAAGTACACTTCTGTGTTATTCAAATTATTTCTTCGAAAAATGTCTTCTCCAAGGCCTAGTTGAAGTTGCAAAAAAGAACATTTTACCAGCATGAAAATAATATCAATTGAAGAACCTTTATGAGCATGCTTGAAAGACTCATAACTCCTACAAAGTCAACTGATAAAATATTCTTGTGGATATGCACATCTACATATTATGTCCTCATTAACTATGAGTTGCGATTACTTACCTTTGCAGTAGTATATTTAAGCCAAAATTCTCAGTTCAAAAGGGCATAACCTCTAGAAAAATTATATCATAATTTCCTGTCGATATGAACATCTACATAGTATGTCCTAATTATCTACAAAGTTTAATGAAATTCATGTTTCAAAGGAGTTGCGATGAAACGAACAGGACTGATGGACGGACGGATTGACGGGTCAAACATATTATTCTAATTTACTTTGTTGTGTAGGGGATTAATAACTTGGTAAATCCAATTAATTTGTTTATTATTCTTAATTTCTAGAAATAAATTAGGAAAAATAGTGAAGACTAGAAGAAAAATGAACTATGACTCTTTAAGTATTCGAAATGAAACAGGTATTGCAAAATTATTTTCATTTCAAGATTTTTGTTATATGGATAAAAATATACATTACAGGTGAAACCGGTACAGTATGGAGATTACTGTCAGACAATTGTTAATTTATACAAAAAAACATGGCCTAAGCCCACTGTATATTGCACTAACAACTACAGAATGAGCAACACGAATATAAACTTATCAAAGGGATGAAATCAGTAACTCTGGAATGGCAAGCATTTCCGGGTTCACTATACACGACAAGGCATCCTACAAAAATGGAATGTTACAAGGCCATTTCTGATTCAATGCACACACAATCATGTCAGATATTTTTATACAAAATGTTATAAAGACAAAATCAAAATAAAATATATTTAAGGCTTTTCCTTTTTACATATTTTTCATAGCAGTTATGTTGTTGAAGAGGAACAAGCAATGTGTTGTCCTTGTTGATGTGTCTTAAGTTTATCGAGGAAACTCGAAGTCCGCCCTGCTTGTGTCCTTACCTTGTAATCGATAACTTTGACAAACGGATTCTGTAAAACAATATTTCAACAGGTCTCGTAGATATGAATACAGTATACTGAAAATATTATTCCCGACAAATAGTTAAAATGACAACCCTGAAACTATAAACGCAACATTTACAATTACTAAATTTAATATTTTTTTAAATTTAAAAAAAAGAAAAATTATTTAGCAAATATTTTGCGTTACTATGCAAAATATTGCGAAATAACACAAAGATTTAAGTATACATGTATATATATTGGCGCTAATATTCCTCTGTAAGTACGAGAAAGTACTGCAATTTTTCATTAAATATCATCTAGCCAATGATGTACAATATTATCATATCCATTCATTGTGCAAGACAAACCTATTTGTAATTAAAAATTGAATGCTTCTTTTTGTGAATTTATTGGGGTGTAAAAGCGTTGACCTATGTACATTTTGTATGAAGCGCGAAAGCGTTTCATTCTCAAAATGTGCGCACGGTCAACGCTTTTACAAACCTATAAAATTACTAAAAGAAGCATTCAATACTTGTAATTACATTTTTTTGCTAGGATCATGAAAACACAATTTCTATCAAGCTTTTCTTTTATTTACTTGTGCACTTTATTGTGGAAACTCGTGTCATCATGAATGTTACATTTCATTTTGAAATGAAGGTTAATTTCAGAATGACGCGAGATTGCTGTTAGCCAATCAAAATAGCGTATTATAATGAAATTAACATGTAATGTAATTATTTTATTTCATAAACATCTATGGGATTTTTAAACAAGAAAGACATATCTGAACCTGATATTTAAGTTAGTAATCAGTTATTGGGAAAGGATACTCCGCTTTAAAAGTGTATGCGTTCAGGACACTATAGTCTGTACATATACATGTATATGTATCAGATTTGTTTTCATGTTATTGATTTAACTATGATACCATATGATATACTATAAGTAAACGAGCATTTTATTTGACTTATCACCGAATTCGTACAAACGGATGCCACATGTGAAGCAGGATCTTCCAATCATTAATTTTTCAGCCAATCATTGGTTTTTCAACCAATTGATGCGAAATCATAAATTTTGTAGCACTTGATAAATACTACTATAAACGACATGTGTACTTCGTTTAATATTGTAACACAACAAAAATTTAGAACTATGGTCATCTAGTAAAATCCATGCTAAAGTTTGGCGTCCGTTTGTCTGTGCGAGATATATAAAACGCAGCCACGTCCGATCGGAATGAAGACGTTAAGATGGCTCGTGTAGGGCTGTACTACGCTGTCTGTACGAATCTTCGTAACCAGTTTGATGGCTCTGAAGGTGGCTTGCTGCCCGTATATAATATACCCTCCTTTTCCAGGGGCAGTTCAAATTTTACACTATTCATCCCGGTCGGTCAATTTTTCAGAACTTAATTGGTGTGTTAACTGTTAAATTGTTCTTGTTCTTAATATCCATGAACTAGACATTAAGCACACACTAATCAATCATAAAAACGAAGTTATATTGAATAAAATTTTAAAAATTACATATCTTTATATTGAACTATATTTAATTTACGATGCTTTATTGGTTTATCAATCATTTTATTTCAAAGCAATTAATAAGTTATAACACATTTTATAATATCATAGTACATTCACCTTGCAAGTGCTTATAAGTGAGAGTTTTAAAAACAGACATCAAATCAACCGTAAAATGAAATATAAATATTACCACATAGATTCGCTCGGGTGAAGACAATTTTCAAGACAACATTCAAAAGAATGATCATGCAATGAAATTTACAGCGATTAGTGAAATGTAAAATGATGTCTTGTAATGCACAAGTTAAAATATGAAATGGATGAAATTAATTTCTGTATCTACAGTAGCAATTGTATGTTTATGGTGGTGTAGTTGTGTCTGAGAAAAACCGAAAAATATCAGCTCCATGGAAATTGCCTATAGATGGTCATTCCAATGTGAAATGGAATGCAAATTGGGATGGGTACGTATCATTTAGTTCTATTAATGCACAGCCATAGGGTATAAAAGGGATTAATTTAAGAATTATTGACCTGTTATCGAAACTTCTTATAAGTTCTGAAACATGTTTGGTCCAAAAAAATAATTATTTTCATATTTTTTCAACGCTATCAATCAAACAATTTTTTTTAATTTAACACTATAAGGTATGGTGAAAATCTGGATCCAGAATTAAATATTTAAGAAAAAGCCATGACCCCCCCAACACCCCACACCCCCTCATTTTTTTAAGTTAAATGGTCGTTCCCTTATCGTTTTAATTTTTATTATGAGTTTGAATGTCCCTTTGATATCTTTAGGTTCTCTTTTAATTTTTTAATCTATCTTTTTTTTGACAGCTTGATAGGTAAATGGGAAATAACAGTTGGTATTTTTTTATATTTTGTAAACAAAAAAGAACATCGGGACGATTCTTTTATTAAATGATGCTTGCTTAAAGTTCAGCAGAAAATATTGTATGCATTTTCAGGACTTTCTGTACGTTTTCATCCATGTATTACACCGGCCTCAAAATAAGGAGACATGGAACTAAATAATTGCCAATAGGACATTTATCAATAAGATTTCAAATAACATGAATGTCAGCAACTATATGTTACCTTGTCAACGTATATTTATTCTGCCTACAGAAGTTCCCTTGGAAACTTTGATATAAACAATTGCATTACGTCAGCTATTGGTGGAACACAAATCTTATACCATTTATTCCGTTAGGAACAAGTATTATTATACTTCATGTCAAAATGCCAGATTTTAATTGGTTAATACGAGGGAGACAATTTACTCTATACCATGGCAAATACTCTATTACCCTTCACGGAGAAGCTTGCTCAAGTGTGCGCTTTAATAAATACGGATGATTGTTATGTACAAGACGACATAGTTTATTACTTTGAATTTGAAATTTAATAGACAGTAATAACAGAACATTCAGTATAATAAATTAAATAACACATATCTGAGAGGGTGATAGAGCAGATTGTTACCCCTCGAAAAGACATTGTCAACCTTGGCTTCGCCTCAGTTGACAATGTTTTCCCGGGGTAACAATCTGCTCTATCACCCTTTCAGCTATGTGTTATTTATATACCATTGTTTTTGTTCCAGTATTCCATTTTTTTTCCATTTGGAAATTGTATTATAAAGGAATATCTATAGCATGACAACCTTACCGCCTACAACATGAGTAAATCCCATACCGTAGCGTAGGTAAATAATAAAATTGAGAATGGAAATGGGTAATGTGTTAAAGAGACAACACCCCGACCAAAGAGTAGAAAACAGCCGAAGGCCACCAATGGGTCTTCAACACAGCGAGAAAAATATGGATCCGATTCCCACGGAGCATAATCATACATTAGAATTGGAGCCAGATTTTACCTAAGAATTGCACTAAAAAAGGAAATTGTTCCTCGGGTTCGGTTTCCTCCGCGGATATCGAATCCGGATACGCGATGTGTACATATTTATAAAATTTAATCTAATTTTCTGCTCTTGGTTCAAATATAGACGACATACTATTTCAACACCACAGAAACACAAGATACATTAGCAAAAAGATCACCACAGGCACGAAGACATATCTTCCTGGTTCGACATGGACAGTACAAGGTACAAGGCACAACAGACTTGGAGCAAAGTCTTACACCACTAGGTATGATGATTATATCGTAGAATGTTGACAAAAGACACTTTTTTCACTTGGTACGTTGTAATATGAATTGAGGGGAGGGTAACCTTCAGTGTAAAATATTTCATGCATTTTCAAGACGATCGAGAATAAAAAAATAAACCATAAATCCCATAATTTGTCTTTGTAAATGCAAAAGTGGATTACCGCCAAGAGAGGTTTCACCATTTAAAACCGAAATTTTGATTTTCTTGTTTTAGGAACAAGTTTCAGTAAGTTAACTTGATTTAAGAGATAATTTGCTCAAGACTTATATTTCAAAAAACTGAAATTTAATACGTTTTAATTGTTCAAAAATCTTTACATGAAATACCGTCAAAGGGCAGTAAGGACAAAATGTAAAATATCATTATAATAAAAAAATAAACAATGCTGAAATTTCACTCTGATTGCGTATTTTGATCTTTAATCAAGAGGAGTGATTTTATCTTAACAAAAATTTGATATTTTATTTTAGAGCATGTTCGTTTATATAATGTTCTAATCTTTGATGGTCTCGTTATATACTGTAAATTTAGCCAGGGCTAAAGACACAGTCTGCATCACTATGGAAATCATCAACTAAATTCAGCACGAGGAGACAGACCTTCTAACAGAGGGCGCACCTATCATGCCTATAAAACCGAAACCACCTGTGGATGGCTGGAACTCGGCCAAAGATGTGAGTTCAATGAGTCAGCAAAAAGTCCAAAAAGTGAAGCTAAAGAAATTCGGCTGAATGAGCAGATGAAGAAAATTCGAAAGGAATTGTAAAGCCTCTCCGACCAGGTTACCTTGAAAAACAATGCTATACTAGAGTTTGTAGTTATACTATTCAACTATTTGCATAATTGGCAAAAAATAAAGAATACGAAAACAATCTCATCCAGACCCTCATTTGTAATACAATAATAGGATCGACTATTAATTGTGATAATATTGTTGATTGTATAATAAATTCCGTCTTTTATGCAATTTTTGCTATACTTTTTTTTAGATAATATCTAGTCTTTTTTGCTGAAAAAATGGAAACAAGATATTAATGGGGCAATCAAAATCAATAAGACAACAATCACAAGATTAGAGTGACCACGACTCTATACTTTATAACCCAATAAACGGTCAACATCCTATGATTTATGACACCCAATAAATAGTGGACATTTATCAGGGTGTCAGACCATCAATTCACCCACTCCAATTTAGAACGTATGTAAAAGTAGCCCTACTCTGACAAAAAATAGTGCTTTTGCTGTCATTGTTTACTTAAACTAACCAACAAATTTGCAGAAATGAAACTTTTGGTGAAAGAGAAATATATATTAAGACCATTTTGAGCCAAAATTTACTTGTTTATGAGTTTGTATTAAAAATTAGGATTGATGCGCTCCATAGATTTCCAGAAAACCAGGGTTTATTTTTAGTAGTACTTGGCTTCCGAAAAGCAGTTCTTCATTATAATAAAATTGAGAATGGAAATGGAATGGAAAAAGACTTTAAACATGGGTTGAAAATTAGCATGTAGAAAGGTGATACATGTACAATTCAGGATATACCTTGTTTCTATGAAGTTAAACTTAAGGTAAAGCATATAGAAAGCTGTGAAAATTGCAAAATTTGGTTGAATAGATAAGGATTTTGAATTGGTGGTATGACACCAGTATGTTACGGGTTTTACTGTACCATGACCAGACATACAACAGCCAACAAAACACCTGTACTGTTATGTGCAAAAATGTAATTTGAATGATTGAGCAAGATGTATCTCACCAAAAAACCTGAATGAACGCAGCTGCTCCGGAAGGTTTTGTAGTTCCTTATTTTCCTGATACATTTATCGTGTTGCCCATGACCAATAAAAATTTGGCAATAGGTCATCGACATGCCCTGTGACAAGGTAACAACCCAAATGATTTTATTAATCTGTTGGCTGTTCTTTTAAATGCTGCTCATTATGTTCATAACCATTTCCATTTTCAATTGTATTTGTTTTATTTTTTCTCTCAGTTTGATTGTATATAGAGAGGAACTTTTTTTTTATTTTGTCATTGAAAAAACTAATCCTAAATGCAGCATGCTTAGTTGCAAATTCCAATTTTCAAGTCTATTGTTTTACCTGGGATCAAACACATTAGAGGCCAGCACGCTACAATGAGACTTGTGAAACGGTTAGGGATAGACTATAATGGTTGACTACTTTACAGGTCTTAGTTTGAAGGATTTTTATTAGGTCCATTATTCAACCATTTCTTTAATGAAGAGAAGCTTTCCCATAACTATTTATCGTTCTACAGAAGCGGTCTCAGGTTCCAAAATATGCTTTGCTACAATGTATTTTAAAGTTGTCTATTGGAAAATTCAGGTAAAACTTTAAATGTTAAATCTCCAATGTTAATCATTAATGACATGTATAATTGCCAACAGAGCACTGCCAATGTTTGATTTAAATAGAATTAACCCTTTAACTACTTGATCTTGTTGCCAGATTCGCATATTTTCTTTTGCTTGACATGATATCGTGTTCGATAGATCATATGTCAATCACATACAGACAAGAGAAACCTCGAATCTTACTTTATAGGTATGTACAACTACCTGTGGTAGTAATTCACTTTCAAATGTATTTTTAAGCGCAGCTTATGAGTGAAACAGACATTTGGACAAACCCAATTTCATCGTTTTGTTTACAAAACGGAACACAGAAAATAAAACAAGGTAACGATGAGACATAAAAAAAAAATGTGCCCTCTTTTATGGCAAAAAAATTTAAAAAAATTTAGTACTTATTTAAGATTTTTTACCAACCTAACCACATCCCTTTATGACAAAATTTTGTTGTGATTTTTTCCTCATCTGGGACACTGTATATGACGGACAGATTGATTATGGAGCGTTGTTTATTTAGTTGTGGGTTTGAACTCTTCAAAAACGTGGTTGCATGTTGCCAATTTTGGGGATGTATTGTAAGTACAAAATTTGGGAAAAGAATAAAAATGAGGTGTGGGACGATGTTTAAAAAAAAATTAAGTGATACTTCTTTCTTTATTATAAAAGATATCCAGATATATAAGAGTAACGACCACCATGTATTGCCCCTCCACTAACTAGTTTGATGTACATTCGTTCCCCCTTTTTCATATATACGACGATATTTTGAGTCTGTGAATTTGCATGATCAGACTTTGCAACCCATCCATTTGAGAAGTAAGTGTCATTCTTAAACATCTGAAGTGTACCAAATGCTTTCCGCTAGACATGATCATACAACCAAAACTATAAAGTCCATTCTGTGGTACTGTAAATACCCCAGTTGATGGACTATAGTGCTTTCCTTCGTTCGTGGCTACATCTTCAAACAAAATGACACTGCCAAGTTTTGGAGAAGTTTTAGCATATGCCAAGAATGCAGGTCTGTCAGCTGAAACTAAACAAAACATTTTGAATTATATCTTAAATCTACGAAAGCCGGATAGTGTAAGGCATGCAGTAGTTTATTTTCAGGTCGTTGTCATGACTAAGTAACTCGCTATCATGAATTAGTAAGTTATTACTACGATTACGGTAACGCATTATCTCGACTAAGCTCATTCGTTATCACGACTTAGCTAACAAAAGTCGTTAAAACGATCAAGGTAAGTCGTTATGAAGAGTTAGTTGAGTTGTTGTAACGAGGTAGCTAGGTCGACATTACTAGTGACTGGGTCATGATAACGTAAAAAAATTAAACTACAGTCTTTATTTTATACGAAAGACAAACATAGAATTGGAAAAATTACTCACTGAAACGAATAAAAAGAACTTTCGATTTATCACAATATCTAAAATATTATTTTTTCTGCGTATTGTATCTTTGCGAATGCCGGTTTTAACTGGGTAATGGATAACCATAAAGTCAACGTCGTTTTTGATGTAAGTTTACGTTAAACTAAATTGAGTTGAAGTTGGTGGTCGGGTAGAGGCGAGTTGAATTCGAGTTCGTGTAAAGGCTGGTTACATTTAACCACAATCATAAAATCAATAACTTGGATCTCATATAGATCATTATTGACGAAGATTGAATAGGGATGAATTAATTTTGCCAAATTTTGTTCACTAATGAAGGAAGACATAAAACTAAACGTCTCTCTTAGTCTGCTCAACCCGAAATGCTCACTCGATTTAAAGTGTAAGCTTATTGTTTTTTTAAATTGAACGCAGTGGTGCCAATTTTTTTTGAACTTATATTTTACACCAGGGCCCTTTTCAAAAAGTCTTGAAATCTTTACTTAGAAATAGAGCATCGCAGTTTTATGTTTATACTTTGAAACACAAAGTCATGACCTATTTATTAAAACCAAAAGTTTACACAAAATTGCATTTTCGACAGATTTTGGCACAATTAGGGAGTATATGAAAAAAACGGAAAAGATGGACAATCTTAAGCAAACTAAAATCCTATTTGAAGTAAAACTATAATTTGTCTTTCGTATACAAAGTAAATACCATTGAAATATGGCATAGTTCATATGCTTACCGTGTTTTTGCGGTTGACCACCACAACATTTATTTGTTCTCATCAGCAATTTGAGGAGATCCTCTGTCATGCATGTCCTTTTATCTAAAGTATACAATAAAGATTCAGTAAGTACGGTATCACTGTCAGTATAGTCACACCATGGACATAAATGAATTCTCAGGCCTAAGAAAAAAAGATATTGCTAACATTCTGAACAATAATAGGGTAGATAGGCAAAACAATTTGTTTTAAGTTTCTGATTTGTTTAAACAGGGGGAATCGTCTAACTTTGAAAAGTGCTTGTTCAAAATTGACAAAAACAACTTAAGGGCACTAAAATAAAGGTAAGTAACACAACATATTTTTAAAAGGCCTTAGTTTAATAAATAGTTTGGATAAGATGTATTATACATTTTTTTTTAATGAGTTGATCGAATTGAAATCTTTATCAAACTCAGCAAAAAAGATTTTCGTTTTGTGAATATATAAAAATTGAATCACACACACACACCAACCCTGTAAATTTTTGAAGTTATAAAAAGGCAACGAGTTGAAATGAATAATTTCACGAAACAAGGTCGACAACTTTAGAACGCATTATCTCGACTTAAGTTTAAAGTGTATGCGTTTAGAAAACTATAGTCAATCGCAATTCGTCACAATTCGACCGATTCCGTACCTCCATCTAACTGATAAAACGTAAAAAAAGAAGACGCACATAAGAAACCGACCATTTATCCTTTGTGGGGCATGTTTTATTCTCGGGAAACAATTTTTGTTCAATCACACTTACATGAACAAGAGAACGTTTTTACTTCGACTAAAATTGAATTTATTTTTTCTCTCATTTCTAATAGAAAAAACATATCTTACTTCTCCTCCGAAACAATTTTTTTTCAGTTATGTAACCCACTATAAATTACCAAGAAAAACGACAGAATGCAACATGAATATTAAGTTATCAAAGGGATTAAATCAGGTACTCTGGAATGGCAAGTAGTTCCTGTATCCATAGTGACACGTATCACGAAAAGGCATCCTACAGAAGCGGAGTTTATACGTCCATTACAAATTCTAAGCACACACAGATATGTAGTCGAAGAGGAAAAACTTAAACAATGTGTTGTCCTTAATTGTTGCTGTTTCTTAAGTTTATCGAGGAAATTCGAAGTCCATCTTGCTCTTATCTTGATGTTGTAAGCGACACTGTAGTCAAATGTAGAACGGAATCTTTAAAACATTATTCCAGCATATCAGATAAATATGAATACAGTATATTAAAAATAAAATTCCCGACAAATAATTGCAATGACAATCCTGAAATTTAAAAAAATATATATCATGGAAGCGTTTAAGTGACACATTCATCTTTATCTTTGCTTTGTAAAGCAAACATTTTGTGTCAATGCGCAAACTTTAACCGAATATATGTTACACAACTTATTGCAAAATAACAAAAAGATATTAAAAAAATATGGCGCTAATACTCCTCCGTATGTAAGAATTAGTACCGGAACATTTCTGTTAAACTCCATTTGGCCAAAGATGTAAAATGTTATCGATTCGTTGTACAATATCTACTAACCTATCATTACAATTGATCATAGGATATAAAAAAGAGAGTTTTGAATCTGATATTTGATTAAGTTTTATCATTTGGAAAGGATACTCGTCTTCAAAAGTGTATGCGTTCAGGAACTATAGTCCAAACAAAGATATGAATCAGAATTATTTTCATTGTATTGCTTTAACTACTAGTGTACTACCATATGATATACATAAGTGAACGAGCACTTTGTGTATGTGACTAACATTTGTACCACCGAATTCGAACTTACCATGAAAAACACGACGGGTGACACATATGGAGCACGATCTGCTTGACAACCTAAGCACATGAGATTTTCCAGAGTTTTGTTTTGGTGGGGTTCTTGTTGCTCAGTCACTATATTTCTATGTAATGTTTTCTAGACTGTTTGTCTTTTCGATGTTAACCATAGTGTTGTTGGTTTCTCTTCGTCTTATGAAAGTATTCCGACTCTTTGTTATGGTTGCAAGTGTTAAAACTATCAATGAGACAGCAACTCATTTGTAAAAGTGATTTATTTGGATCCGATTCTATTATAGCAGTATAACCACTTTGCACAGTTAAAACAAATAGGTATAAAACAGTTTAAAAATATTGAAATTTGATATGATTGCCAAAAGAGAAAACTATCCACCAACGACCAAAAGACGTAAGCAACTATAGATTACTGTTGGGCCTTCAACAATGAGCAAACCTATACCTAATAGCATGGTATACAAGACCTCCAGCATGACAAAATGTGAAACAAACGGCCTGTTCTATGCTGAAACAATATAAAATGATATGACCGACAGTGACAACAGATAACGACTGTTTCACATGCTCATGACTTGGGATAGACATGTATGAAGAATAAGGCGGGGTAAGCATGTTGCCAGCGCTCTACCCTTCATATTACCTGGGATATTTGTGTAAGAAAGCATTGTAAAAACCAGCTGGAAAGGACTTGACACATCAGATCGGTACGAGGCTCACATAAAAGCAACGTACAAAATAACAAATTACACAAAGTACCGATCTACGAGTATTCGCAGTTAGTAACTCCTAGTTTAAAGTCAATTACAACTAATAAATAAATCAACTTTTTCCAGGCCATAATGTTCTTAATTCCGTAAATAACTAAAAGACTCCAACTATTGTTTCTTAATTCTGGTAACTCATTTTTCTTCTTTTTTTCTACAAAACTGCGAAGTGCACATTATCATTACTAGTATTCCGTTCTAAATTAAAACTTCAAAATACTGATGGATTCAGTCGATGATTATGCCAGGCAATGGGCTAAACGCGAGAAAGAAGACGTAGATACTCTTTCCGAATGGATTAAGGCTGTGAGGTCGTTGATACAAATCCGAATTAAGAAACTAAATGGGTCTATCAATACCCACGCTACGTCAATTTTTAAAGACCCAAATGTTGCAAAACACTTGTCCTACCTCCATGACAAATATGTTGTTGTCCCCGCAGATAAAGCCCCAAACAACATCGTTTTTTTGTGTAAATATCATTACATAAACTGCTTGATAAATGAATTAGGTATTGACAATTCATTTGGAAACTCAACATATACCCTCACGACACTTACCAAAGAGGAAATCCTGGATAATCATAGGTCTGTTCTATGTTCCTTTGGAATTTTAACCAAAGATGAAGAACTGGATCTTCCTTCACTGTATTGGATACCTAAACTACATAAGTGTCCTTACAAACAACGGTATATTGCTGGGTCTTCCAAGTGCTCCACGAAACCTCTTTCTAAATTATTAACATCTATTCTATCAGCAATCAAAGCCGAGCTCCAAAGTTATTGTGAAACTGCCTATTCTAGAGGTGGCGTGAATCAGATGTGGATACTAAAAAATTCCAAAGATCTTTTAGAGTACATACAATCTAAGACTCTCTCATCTTTCAATAGTATTAAAACATTTGACTTTTCTACACTTTACACAAGTATTCCCCATTCCAAACTAAAAGACAAATTGAAAGAGTTGGTATTACTTTGTTTCATTAAAAAGAATGGCGAACGTAGATACAAGTATCTTGTCTTGGGGAGGGATAAATCCTACTTTGTAAAGAATCATTCTGATTCAAACAAAAAATTCTCTGAAACTGACATTATCAAGATGCTTGATTTCTTGATTGACTACATATTTATTACGTTTGGAGGACGTGTTTTTCAACAGACTGTCGGAATTCCAATGGGAACCAATTGTGCCCCTCTTCTTGCCGACTTGTTTCTTTATTATTATGAGGCTGACTTCGTACAGGAACTTCTTAGGAAGAAAGACAAGAAGTTAACAATATCCTTTAACTTTACGTTCCGCTATATAGATGATGTTCCCTCACTAAATAATACAAAATTTGGTGACTATGTTGAACGAATCTATCCCATCTAACTAGAGATAAAGGATACTACAGATACAGTTAAGTTTGTCTCATATCTTGACTTACATCTAGAAATTGACAAGGAGGGTCGGTTGAAAACAAAACTTTACGACAAAAGAGATGATTTCAGCTTCCCAATTGTGAACTTTCCATTTCTTTGTAGCAACATTACAGCAGCACCTGCATACGGAGTATATATCTCCCAATTGATACGATATTCCCGGGCTTGTATTTGCTATCATAATACTTGATAGAGGATTACTGCTCACAAGGAAGCTATTAAACCAAGAGTTCCAAATGGTGACGTTGAAATCATCCCTTCGTAAATTTTACGGACGCCATCACGAGTTGGTTGACCGTGATGGAATAACCGTTTCACAGATGTTATCGGATATGTTCCTTATGTCGTAACTACAATACCCTTCCCTTTTCACGGATGTGATCTACCGAATTAGACTATTTACCGGATTTGTAATAACATAATCAACACGACGGGTGCCACATGTGTAGCATGATCTGCTTTCCCTTTGTCATCTGTACTATTATTTGTCTGTTTGTCTTTTTATTTTTGGCCATGGCGTTGTCAGTTTGTTTTCGATCTATGAGTTTGACTGTCCCTCTGGTATCTTTCGTCCCTCTTTTAAAAGCCAAGTTCAAAGAAAGATTTATTCGTCTCTAAATTCAAAGTACAGAGAATCATTTATTCCTTTCTAAATTGTAAGTGCAAAGATTGGTTGAAATAAAGTGCAATCTATGATATACTAGTATCCTTATCTAAATTTCAAAAGCAGAGATAGATTGTGTACATAAATTTGTAGTCTCATTCGTTATATCAGAAAAATTATGTTTTACTTATTTATTTATCTATTTACAAGTTTGATCGTTTATATAAATATACAGTGTTATTTTCCATTGTTTTACCCAAGCGTATATTTTAGGTAAATAAATTGAATGAAAACTACGGTTCCTTATTTGTGCATTGTGATCAAAAATTCGGATGTATCATTATTTTCATTTGTTTACAACTCTGTCCTGTCTGGGACTATTAGTGAGGGGCCTGATGGGTTATTTTCGTTCTTCGTGATCGGCGCATTTTCGCTATCGTGATCCGTTTTTCTACAGATTTTTTTTTT